GGGGGTACCCTCTCAAAAAATGATATCTGAGGGGGGGTTTCAAGTAATACCTCAATAGGGGGGGTGCGGATATTAAATGGAATGGCCCAATACATTGACAACAAACTTACGAAAAATCAACTTAATGTGACTTTCCAAGCTCAATTAAATGTCACCATAAAATATTTGTTTCCCAGGCTACCTTTGCTGCAATTCAAAGATGACTTCAAACTGTACAGCGACAGTAAACAGTCGATTTTGATACGTAAGCTTCCAGAAGCTTCACAGCTGACCAGTAAGTTTAATTTTTAGAATTTTTTCACTTTAGTACCCACCGGAAAGCATCGTCGTGGTGTGCCTTTACTTTAGCAGGGCCTTCTCTCTCCATGTTGCTTGAGTTTTTTTCGCTGATCTCCGTTGAAGAAGTTAGCTTGCTAGCACACAAGATTACTCAAACTGCTAAAATTAGAATTCACCTAATCCGCCATAGTGGCCGATACTTAAATCGGAAATTACATGACGTATCTTCACCGTGAGGGAGAAGCCGCTGAGTCATCCGCTTTTCATATCCCGGACGATCTCGGATGTTGTCAAAACGACGACAGGCAGGGCGAAAGGACGACACAGTGATGATCTAGGGGTGCAACGACAAAGCGAATTTTAAAACAATCTCGCTCCTATGGTGAGTTTGACTGCTGCTTTTCATCATTGACTTTACCCAGAATTACTGCATGCCTTCGCTTTTCATTTGGCAATGTTTACGTACAGATGACAGGTTGCTAATGAACAACTTTGGCGGGAAAAATCAACAAAGCTCTTTTTCTTTGTACTTTCTGTCGTATTTCAGTCTTTTTTTTTTAATTTAAGCTTAAGACTTACTTTCACATTGACATTTCATGCCAACGTTTTATTCTTAAACTGAAAGTACAGTCGAACCTCCACTATACTAATGGCAGCTTCTCTAGCACTTTCCTCTGTATCCAAGGTTGCCGTTGTGGAGGGGTTCCTTACCCTTTACCGCCCTCTTCATAAGTGACAACATGAGGGTGTATATTGGACTGGTACATAATTTGCTGCTAAAAAAAACTGACAGCTCAGTTCAGTTGACTGGTCTGCAAATCGGCTCGGAATTAGAGCAAACCAAACCATCAACATCACTCAAGCTTATGCCTCCCTTTTTAAATGTCATTTTAGACAAAAATAATAATTTATTAAGTGAATAGCATCAATAACATTTTAACACCAATTTGTTACACTAAATCTTTATTGAAGCCAATCTGTACACTATTCTACAAAATATCTTCTTTACAAGGGCATTCTTCTTAATACCAAGCTACTGATTTTCCAAACATACTCCCATCTCTTAAACTGTCATTATTAACGCCAACCAAACGCACTTAAAACAAAATTACAGGTGTTACATGCATGATAAGTTATTGCTAAAATCATCCTCACAATTGAAACAAGCAAGTTTAGGAGTATTACCATAGCATTGGGATTCTTAAACTGCTGTTTCACAAATATTACAATGAAAAGGTAGTCATTAAAATTAATATCTACAAAAAAATCAGTGTAATTTCTATAAATGTATGAGTAAAATCAGGGCTGTCATTAACTTTTGATTCACTTGTAGTCTTGATCTTTACACGCAATAAACTTGATACCTTATGGGTGAATTGTTTCAACTATAGTCAGTCACCCATAACATCATGGACCTATCAAACAGACTCAGCTAAAGCAGGTGTTATGGGTTACGGCCCTAATTGACAGCCCTGAAAATGGCAATAATGATTACATTTACCTCAATAAAAGAAACTAAAATGGCTAAAAATAGCCTAAAGAAGATAACTTACTAACTACAAATTAAATATGAATATTACAAATGCTTTTCAAACACCTTAGGTACTGCTGTTGAAGTTAAAAGAAATCCTAAATATGCACATAAATTGTGTATTGAATACAATCTTAAAAGTCAAATCAATCGAGACCTTTTGACATATTACATTATACATAACAGTGCCTTAGCACAGAAATAATTTGATTTTTCATCATAAAAATATAAATACAATAAATGGAATCAACTTCAACTCTCGAATCATGGTTAACTGGAAATAGAATTCTTTAAATTTTGACAAATATGATCATTTCACACATTGATCATGTGTGCCAATATCCTGAAGTACGTGCACACGAAACTAAAGATTCTGCCTGTTACAGTGCGGCTAGTAACTCAAACTGCGCCACCTTGACGAAAAGTAACAAATCAAAATGTAAACTGAGAACAATGGACTGGGAAGCTTCTCGTGACAGCAAGTAACAGTGTTTGACATGAAAACATATACATTGTCGACTCCTCTGCATTATATTCACTCTTAGAGATTCAGTCCTTTATGACAAATTATAATTATTATAAATCTCACTCGAAAAATTGAGCTTGAAAAACTCATTTGTGACCACTAAACTGAAACCATTGAAAAGCGTACAAAATTAAGGATCAAAACTAACCAATCAACAAATGGCAAAGTTTCCCGAGAGGTTCTGACACAACACCTTGGACTTTGCTGGGTTTTCAATTTTGTTAAAATTCATCGTTTGCTTCAATGTTAATGGTTTATTTGAGAAAAAGATCGCTACCCTTTGTTCTCAAGTAACATTCTGATTGTTTCACTCTTTTCCAAGTGGCCTGGCTCGAGTAGTCACACTGTAATATTTCACACCAGTTCACACGGTTTGTACTTGTGTACAAACAGAGAAATTCAGAACTGTAGGTACGTAATGCGTACAAGACAAGCTGCGGCTGCAAGACTGTGCTACTTATTGAGTTAACCCTTTTGCAGTATCAAAGCTGATCGGTGTTAAGGTATCGTCACAAAATCAAGACTTTATCATGCAAGCATTACTCTTCAAGAGATCAAGGAAAATGATCTGCAAAGAAATAAAATAAATTTGCTTATCACCAAATTTTCCCAGCTGTGATTAGCTTCCATGTACATATGGATGTCCAATGTCCTATTTGTGTTCCCACAGATGGGAGACTGGACATCCCTCCAGACAGACTCAACCAGAAATGTATCATGGAGACCAAGGTTGCAGGGGAATTTGTATAGCAGCAATTGGGCATCGGGGGTTAAACCTCTGTGGGACGTCGTTCATCTTCATCTTTGGTGTAGTAGGACTGCAAACAACACATATCTAAGGTCAGAAGAGTACATACCCGTACATGTACATGCACATTATCAAGGGATAACTCTAGGGATAAGATGAACTACATGTATGTGGTTCTGCAGTACCAGACCTTGCAGGAGAAGAAATAATTTACTGGCATCACTTTCTTGTAACGCGACAATAACAGTGTTTCAAGTTGACATGCTTCTCAGTTCTTCACGTGCAATACCACCTGTATTCTAAAACTGAAATGCTGAAGAAGGGCCCTCCCCAGCCCCCTCCGAAAACCAATACCAGTATTTCCCTATTCCAATAGGAAATCCTTGTTTACAATATTTTGCCTCATTAGCATAAGCAATTCAGTTTCTTTTGGAGCTACAAATAAATCAGTTCTGAATATTGAAAGGTCATAGTACGATTA